GGTTTATTCCCTCACATTTTATGGCCAACTCAGGTGATGCCCACTGCATTCAGGAAGCACTCTACTTTGTTTCTATCATTCTAGTGAAGCCTTCATGAGAAGCGTGAGCAAAGTCTTGGGATTACTTTACTATTTTATTCTTTGATCTATATAACACAATAGTATACAATTTTCTGGAGAATGTCCAGATTAACCCTTTAGATGCTGCTCTTCTTGGCACCCGTTATATTACTGTTTTCCATTAACATGTCATGGAAACCCTTAGGATGTATGTTATATCCTATGCTGTACATTCAGCAACAGAGCAGTTGTGTGCTCCTTAGAAGTACTTGCTTCATGAAGCAACACCAGCCAGTGTGTTCTGTGTGAGCGTAGGTCATTCATTTGACAGCAGCATGGATGCTTTCCAACTGAAGCAGGTAGCTGCAGGTATGTCCCACCTGTAGGCTACTAAGACACTTATAGCCCAATAGCTGGATTTTCCTAGGCTAGTGGGTTTCAGAGTTTCTAAAATCACAGAACCTTTTCATGTCACTTCTGCTTACCTACCACCATCCTAAAGACTGATGCAGAGCCAAGCACCCCAGCCTGGCAATGGCAGTGCACTGCCTCCTAGCTTGCCTTGCAATCTCTTTGTAGACCCCCTGATGACCTATGACAGATGATGATGATGAGCCCCTGGGTTCTGTGGGACGCAGTTGGAAAAACACTGTCCTAGGCTGTGCAGCAGCTATCAGGCAGAAATGCATTCAACCTTTATATTGTAATAGTTTAAAAAGAATACGTGCTTTCACAAGTTCTACAAGTGGCCAGCTTTCTTCATTCTTTCACAGCATGATACTGAAAATAGGGAAATATTCTGGAGCATTTGCTAGTATTTAGGAATACAAGAATAAACAGATGCTTTCCATCTGGAGAACTTAAACAGTAAAAGCCATTTCTTTGTTGTCTCCATCCCTTTCTGAGGTTCACTTTTTCACCAGTGTTGAACTGCAGGATGATTCATCTATGGCCAAACTTGGGTTGCTCCTTTTTTCTAAACAAGAATTGTCTGCAATGACTGCCACAGTTATTGGTTAGAAAGCAAATAAACTGCAAATAGAAATGTCAATTTAAAATGCAATTCTTTTTTGTTCTGAATTCTACTTGAGCGCTGTCAGAAACCATGATCAGCCATGTGGCATTTCTGTTAGGAACACGTGACATTTCTAGTAAAAACTTCCATACCCCAGGAAGGGAGCTATTCTCTAAACTAAACATAGTTCTCTGACTTCATATTCACTGATAAGAAAGTCAGAGAACTGTGTTTAGTATTGGGCCTTTTGCCCAAGAACAGATGCTATCAAATTGGAGTGTGTTCATAACAGAGAAGCAAATATAATGAGAGGCTTAGAAATAAGCTTCTGGAGGAGATTTCAGATTGGAGAAGAAAATGGTGAGAAGTACATCATGATTTGCAAGAACACTTATGGCAGAAAGGGGGAAGTTTCCTTAGTAAAAGAGGATAAGACAAGAAAGATTTGACTACAGTAGAAGAAAGAAAAGTTTATACTAATGTTTGTGAAATATGAACAAAAAACAAACATCCAATGTTTTCAAATGTCTGCATGCCTACCTGTTACTAATGCTTTATTTTTTATTGTTGAAACACTTATGAGACCTCATCTCGTGTATGAAATCAATAATCTTAAAATGATAGTAAGAGCCATCAAACTCACCTACTGTCCGTGGAAGCACTCATCAAAAATCTAAGTTTTGAGTGGTTTGGTTTTGTACGTACTCCTTTTGTGGACAAATGAGTTTACTATTCAGTGGACAGTCTTCATGAGGCACACAATAGTATAAAAACTTCAGGCTGTCAGATACTGCTTAAACAGCAGTAGATAGAAATAGCAATAGATTTCCCTTATTTAGGGCAAGCTGAGGTTGAAGACAAGTTGAAACACAGTGTTGTTGCTACAGTGAGTGTAGTGCTTTAGGAAGAACAGAGTTGGGGCTTAAGAGTCTGAGTGGACTTTAACTTTCCTTGACATTACAGACTACAGACCTTGTCCATTCACTTTCCAGGTTTCACTGTCCTGGGAAGAGTTACTAAGTATGCAGCAAATGTGACCAGCCTGAAAGTTCACTGGGTGAAAAGCCCTGCCATAGAGCATAAAGAGAAATTCTGAGTTCAATTCAAGGTGACATCCATCACTTTTAGTACAAAATCCCTAATTTATGAATCCTCCCACATTGCTGAGACAAAAGTAAATAACCTCCATTTCTCAAGACCTGTACAGAGAGAGCACTGTTCAAACAGTGCAAGAATCTACAAGCATCCAAACATAATAAGCTACCATGTCCATTTTCCCAGGGGCCTCTTGCTTGCATTGCAGTCACCTGTTGAGATAAGTTAAAAAACATGGAAACTGTGTAGAAATCTCTGGAAAATAAATCTGTGATATGGGGCAACCTATTTTCATCTCATCCTCATGTAAATCAGGCATGCCTCCTGGGGAGTCATTGGAATTGATCTGGAATAAAGTTAGTGAAAGTGGTGGGAGACTCTAACAGAACGTACACAGCTTATGTTTGTTTCCAGTTATAGGATAAAGGAGTATACGGGGGATAAAAAAAGAGGATTTTCATGTCAACAGCAGACTCTGGTCTTTTTTTAGAAAGATTTAGACTTATCCTAGTTGTGAGACATTGTATAGAGGCCTGAGAAATCTGGAAAACATTGCAAAAAAAACACAGATAACTAAAATGTTGGCAGTCATCATCACCAGGCTACATTTCACAGCCCCTTGAAGTCCATTGCAATGATGTGGCAAGAGTCCAGATATTCCTGCTCCAAAGCAGAGACTGCTAGTATCTGAGCTAATGGTGAATCTCCCCTGGTTCTTATTACTCCTGAAATGGTGATCTCTTTGAGCAGATTTTATTCCATCTAAAAAGCCAGTGGTATATGTGCACCTGTGTGCATGTGTATGAAGGTGCATGTGTGCACGCACCCATACCCATGCACCCACCCACCCACACGCACACATGCATACACACACACACACACATGCATGCAGGCGTGTGCGCGTGCATATGTATGTCAGGGGATTATCCAAACCCTCTATCCCAGGCGAGGCTCAGCTAATCTGACAGTGGAGGGTGGGTCTTTTCTAACCTTGGCTGAGTTGAAGAAGGCCCTCTGTCATGAATATCAGTTCGCTGTAGAGGAGAAGGTCTCCATCCTGCCTGCCCATGAATGTTTGGATCTTGTCACAACCTTGATTAAGCCACAAACTCACCAGATGCTGAGTTGGTTCAATCCCTTGAACCTCTGTGTTCTCAAACTTACCTTGGCCTAAATCAGCAACAACACTGTTTCTTACTTGGTGTATCTCCTGGGCATGGGATTTCTGTCTGCTACCCTGCCCTAGAAATGAGGCCCTGGGGGCCAGCTGCCCTAGGCTCCAAGGACCTTTGCTGACCCCCCTCCCCGTGAGATTCCCAAGTAACCAAGCCATCTCCTAGGACCCCACCCTTATCGGCAATCTGGATTTCTAGTTTAATGCTTCCTCAATACATGATAGGTATTAAACATAACACCCAGAGACTGTGCACACAGTCCTAAAACAAGTTATTATCTACTTATGATTCACAGGAAAAAAAGTAGAAACATGCCATTATCCATTTCCATGCCTCAGTTTCCTCACCTCTCTGGAGAGTTTTTTGGCCTTGAGGAAGAATTCTCCAAGGAGTCTACAACTGCTCCCCTCTCCCCCAAATACACACCTTCATGACTTCCTCTGCAGCAGAGACTCTCTCTCTCTCTTTCACTCTCTCTCTCGCCAACCCACTATGAAAGCACATGAACCCACTATGAAACCCTATTCCCCTTTCCTGTTTCAAAGCTTTGGATGCATGTCCATGAGTCTTTTTTTGATTTACCCTGCCTTTGTGGCTATTAAAGGCTGGCAACAACATTTTAATTTCTTTGTTATGCTTGGGGACTTTCAGCACTCCAAACCTCCCTGCAGCTAAACTTGAGTGCTTCAGGTTTCAGGGATCCCATTGTCCTGAAGTGACCATTAAAATTGAAGCAATAACCATTATTCCTGGTCGAATCGTGGCTGATTCAAACTACATTTAGGCATTCGATGATGCAGTAATTTCCTAACATTAACCAGAGAATTCCTAAACTGATCAGAGATTCCCCAAATAATCCCTTCCATTTTCTATATTAGGGTTAGAAAGAGCCCAGTGCTATAGTCCTGCTGGAGAACAACTGAACTGGGACCCTGGCACCATGAAACAAGCAAAGACTTGTAAACATGGAGATAAATCTTGATCTCCAATCCTTAGTTCATACTGATGTGGCACGTCGGTTGCAGGTACTGCACTAGGTATCTTCAAGTAGAAGGCCATATTTATGGGTGTATAAATACAGACCCTCAAAAAAGTCTCTTAGTTTTATCTGGGTGTTCACCTGGTGCAAAGCCCTAGAAAAGTCTACCTCTCTGAACATCTGCACAGAGATTATGAAGATTGAGCAAAGACACTCTGAGCTTTAACCGGTGTTAGCTTATCCCAGTATATGTAACAAAACCAAAGGAATATGTGGAAATCCAACTCCAGTCCCCTCTACACCAAAACGGTTGTCAGTCTAGATGATTATCTTAAATGACACTTAAATGTTTAAACTGCAGCAAAGCAGATTACGATTAAGTCTCAGGGAAAACGCCTGCTGTCAGATCAGTGGGACAGCGGAACAAGCTGCTCAGGGAAGTTGTGGAATCTCCTGCACTGGAGGATTTCAAGAAGCTGGAGAAACATATGAAATGCTTTAGGAATAATCTATCCTACATTTCCACAGGGGGTTAGACTAGATGATCACTGAGGTCCTTTCCAGAACTATGATTTTATGACTCCCTCCAAGCAACTGCTTTCTTGCCCCCCCTTTACAAAATCGATTTTCCATGAATGCAGCCTGGGCTGGGTTAAAAAGAAAGAAGACAACATACCTGCAGGCTCTTCCGTGCTACTAGCTGCAGTGGTGGGTGGAGCAACAGGAATCTCTGTGCAGGGGGGGGAAGAGAAAAATGAAAAAAATGAGGGAGAACATTGTATCACACTTCAATGAGAGTGGACTGATGTCATGCTTGATTTTACTGACTATACCTATGTGGCAGTTGCTTTCACAGTTTTACGTATGTCAGAGTGAGGCAGCAAAATGTTACATGGGAGAACCAAAAGCAATCTTATGGGATACAGAGGCTGCTGCTCGCATTGCCCAGGTGGATATAAAATAGGAGCTGAGAATTTGTCACAAGGATGGACTATAGATGGGATACAGTAAATGGTCCTAACTTAAATTAGATGATTGATTCTCAAGGCACATGGACAGCTCTTGTAATGAAATCTTTTCTGTTTAGAGCAAAGCTTTGACATTTCTGTACATTACTAGAAATCCATATAGGAGAATACAGAGTATCAGTTAAAATCTGTCATGTGACTATGAGAGCTGGATTTACTCAGAGGAGAATATAATATATATTAAGGCTTAAAATCTGGCTATCCCTGAACTTGTGTGCCTCCTTTTGAAATAAATATAAACCACACTATACACTGCTAATGTTTAGGTTCAAGGGTATATTTATGACATGGTCATTTCTGTTACTGTAGCCTGTGCAGACATGTAACAATACCCTGAGTATATTGTCATTTATCACACAGACTGGGCAATTACATAGATGGAAATCTCCAGGATTTGGGATGGTAAAATTATAGGCAATGGTAAATCAGAGAGTGATATCAGAAAGTTAAACACACTCCTGTGGGACAGGTGCAGAAATTTGGCTTAATCATGCTATACCTGCTCTCTCTGAGTCTGTGACTTGGAGAGGATGTTTCATAGATATTGCCCTACATTAAAATTTTACAATAGGCCGATTGGCATTTTTTAAGGATACAAATGTGGTACTATTTGAAAAAAAAAGAGAACCGTGAGGAGAACATATATATATATATATATGTTCTGTTTTATATATATATATATATACATCTATTGTATTATATGAAGGTGTTTCAGAAAGTAATGGCAATTTTGAAATAAAACTATTGTATATGCAATTCTCTACATAGTCGTAAACAATGGGTACATTTGACAATCAGTGTTCCCCACTGCTGTGCAGCTTCCCACTCGCTGCATACACAATGTTTTTATTTTGAAGTTGCCATTACTTTCTGAAACACCCTTGTTTCAACAATACTACCCCGACAAAATTGTACTTGTCTACTTATTAGGGGTGTGTGAAGCAGGCCCTATTCAATTTGGATTTGGCCCAAATCAGGGACAGTGATATGATTTGTTGATTCAGATTACTGACCGTGATTTGATTTGGCTGAATCCAAATCTGAAGATTTGATGCTGATTTGGAGAATCAGCGATTCAGACATAGACACAGTTTTAAATGTTTTTTCTAAGTACCTTGAGGTACCTCTGCGGCTTGTGAACACTGCAATGCTGGGGTGCATGGAGCGTCCCACAGGAGTGTGGGGGGCCCTCCATGTGCTCAGTGGCGAACCCAGAAGTACTTCCAGGCGACTGCCGGGTCTGCCGGGAAGTGTGCTGGGCCCCACCCCCCTATACTGCCCCAGCTCAGTGATCAGCCATAGGGGAATCCCAGGTGCCCCCTGCACTCCCTGGTAGACCGGGAAGTGGACCAGAAGTGCTTCGGTTCCACTTCCACGTCTGCTGCCGAGAGTGCTGGGAAGCGCCCCCCCATGTTCCATGCACCCCAGCATCGCAGTGTTCATGAGCCCCTGCTACCTAGAGGTATGTAGAAATAACATTTAAAGCTGTGTCTATGTTCGAATTGCCGAATCTTTCTGAATCTCTCTGATTCGATTCAGAGGGTTCCAATTAGATTTGGAGAGATTAAAGGGTCTCCTGATTCGATTTGGATTCGGAGATTCAGCCACTGAATCGGGTCAACTCTCCACTGAGTTGAATCAGGGACCAAAGCTTCGCACAGCCCTACTACTTATGCTAGAAGTATTTTTTCTCATTACAGTTACTGCAAAGGTAGAGTAGGCAGGTATTGAGACTCAGCTGGCAAAGTGTCATAATTTATTATATATGTGTGCATGTATAAAAATACTGGTCATTGCATAGTGGAGCAGGACTTTATAACCAGCCCTAGGTTCTGAAATTATTCAAAATGTAGTTCCCTCAAAATCTGGGTTCCTTAAAATATTTACAATTGTAAAGAATCAGTAATAAGTTTTCAGTGGGATTAATCATGGAAGTGTTTAAAAGTCTTTCAGATCTATAATTCTTGCTATCCCTGCCACAGGAGAGTGCCTTCATGTTCTTTAAATTAAACGAAGTATTTACAATCAGACATCCAGACACTAGGTGGAAGCCTACTATTCTCTTAGTCTGGCACTGAAACAGACTGACTTCTTAGCAGGCTGATTCTGTGAGCATGAATATGATCCATGCAGTGCTGAACCTATGCCTGTATGATCACACTGAAATTCTGTGTCTGTCTGTATTGAGTGCCATGAACCGTAAGGCAAGTGATGCAAGGAGCTACTTACCGTCTGATTTACCATGGCAGTCTGGATTGTTAGCAATAAACCTTTGTGCATACTTGTTGCAAAGCAACCGGAGTGTCATTATTATGCCATCTTGGGAAACAAGCATCTGGTTATAGCTTTTACCGTATCATTGCATCATGAGGAAGAATGAATCTCAAGTGAACAAAATCCACCATGGAATGCATGTTTTATTCAGTAACAAGCAGTAGAAAGGGGGCATCTCCCCATATTTAAAAACAGTCATCATCTCAAAAAGACATTGGGAATGGCCAGTGCTGAAATAGACTGGGTCCTGGACAAAGACTTGATTCTTTCAACCTTCATCTTTCTTTCTTTTTCTTTACACCAGGAAGTTAGCACAGACAAGAAAGGCTACTTCTACTGCAGTGGTAGCCCCACTGCTTTCTCCGACTGCTGTACTTTTATTGTTTTATTTTGTTTTGCTTCTTACAGCCATCATTTTGTCATTTGTTTTTTTTAAGGGAGGTAGAGATAGAGTAAATTGACAATCTATATTATGTGAAGGCACAAAACTATTCAGCAGCAGCAAAGACAACAGGCAGCGGAGGGAACTGTTCAGTTAAGGAGATTTAACATTTCACAAAGACACAGAATGGGCCATGGCTACGGGTGCAGATGTTTTCGATCTGCCCTGGGCTGGTTTATATAGGGATATAAAAAGAGGGCACACAGTTTTAGAAAGGAAGGCATTGTGACAAGAAATATTGGAAGCTGCAACCTAGTGTGTTTTGCTGCTGCTGTTTTAAACAGTATTTAAAACCCAAACAAATGTTAAAATATAAATAAGAAAGTCAAATGTCCCATATCTCTGGCTAGATTGTGTGAGTGGAAGGTCCCATTTAACCGTTTGGGTGGGCATACCTGGGGCTCTTTTCAATATATGATGACAGCAACTGATAATAATGAACCCAGGTAACTAGCTGGTTTCAGCTGAAGAACCTTGACAATACAAAGCAATGTGGTCTGGAAGAAGTGAAAAACATCATAGCAATTTAAGCAGGATTAAGATAGCATTGCAAAGGAAATATATATTCCGGTCTCCCTCTGAGCTAGGGAAAGGTCTTCAAAGCAAAATGAATCATTTAAACTACTCAGTCTTTAGATGAAATAGGTTTTAGATGACACTCACATAACCTAGCCAGTCTAGCAAATGAGATGCATGTAAAATGTATATGTAGTAGGCATACAGACACCTATTACATGCAGTCTAATTAAAATTTCACAAATGTATTTTCAGTTGAGGACTAGTAATGGAACATATGAAACCTTGTGTTAGTAATCACTCAACCTGTTATAATCTCAGGATGATGTTACAAGTCATCTTTAAACCATTCTAAACCTGCGGGTGGTGTTTAAGTTAGAACAGTTTCAGAGCAGCTGCAGGTTAAGGCTTAATGTGACCTGACCTGCAAAATTTTGACTTACCACTAGAGAGCCTGGTGAGCAGGGGCATGGCCAGGAGCCAGGACTTTATCCCTCCTCTGGGAGCAGACCCCAGGGGTTAAGCGCACTGAGAGTGTGGCGCCTGGGAAAGCATGCCTTTCTGGGCTCCATGTTCTCACCACATGCAGTGCTAGGAAGACCCTTCCTGGTTACCTCCCCAGAAATGTGAAAGGCTGGAGAGAGAGGCTGTACCCCACACTTCACCTCCACTTCTCTTGGGTAGGGGAATGCTGCCCAAATGTAGGGCAAAGGCTTAGCCCTCTGAGTGGAGGGCCACATGCCTGGCACCTGGATGAGAAGTCAACGGTGTGGTGCCATGTGGGCTGGGATCATACCCACTGAGGGCAGGTGGGGTGTTGGCTTGGGGCAAGTACAACCCCCTGGGCAATACAGCTTGGGAGGGGGAAAGTTGTACAGGGGTAGCTGTGCATCATGGGATGCTAGGTGACTGCAAATTAGTCACTTTATCTCCATGAAGTAGACTAACAATATTCTAAACTCAAGCTAGGTAGAACGCTTCAGAGATAACCCTTGCCCAAACTGGTGTAATTTTAAGATGCTTAGAGGCTATCTAGCACAGTTTACCACTGTTTAATCCATGGATGCTCCTGTTTTAAGTGCCTTTAGAATGGTTTAAAGGTAGCCTGTAACACTACCCTTAGTAGCTGAGGTTGATTTTTTATTGGTTAATTCCACTATAGTACAGACTTCAAAAAGAGTGGTCCACATACTTATGCACGGGGCAATGGGAGATCGGCTTTGCTGGTAGCCTTTGGCACATCGATTGCACGTGATGCCAGTCACACCATCTTTACAGGGACATTGACCTGTGGTTTGATTACAGGTTTGGCCAGCTGCACCCACGGGATGGCAATCACATTCTGTGGGGGGAACACACAACAAGAGGTCAGAGGTGGAGAAAGGGGAGGGAGGAAAGAATGTACAATGTCAGTTGGCAATAGCACCCCCTATACTAGTCCAGGGCATGATTCCAGATGTGCAGGGACAAGGTAGAAGCAGCCGTGTCTGCAACAGGGTTTCGCCTTCTCAGCAATCAGCCCAATCCAACACTTGTGCATTAGTAGAGCCAGCAAACACATCAAACTGAAACAAAGATGGCAATTTACAGCGGTGGATTTGAATAGCCATTGCTCTGTTAGGCAAATCAGAAATCCAATTGCTGAGAAAGCATCTAAAATAATTACATATTTTTAAGACAAACATACTCCTTTGTTGTGGCAAACTGAGTGGGAAGTTTTAGCATAAAACTTCTTTGCCTCCCAACCTGAGCAGACTGGGTAGAACTGGGTTCTTGAAATGCTGCTGTGAGGATGCTGCTGTGAGGATATCCATCTTTCGATGTTGCAGTTATGAATTCCAGAAGAGTAAGAGAGTGGTTCCATAATCAGAGCAACAGCAGAGGGTAAGACAGAGAAAGGTAGCAATACAGGAATCCACAGTGTCAGCTCTGTTAGCACACACTACAAAGTCATGATAGACATGCTACTGGCCAGTGTCAATGTTATAAAAGAAGTGGGCAAATTCAGGGTATACTTGGACACCCACTTGTTGTGAGGACCTGTATGTGGAATTAATTTGGTTTCAGAAACAACAAATTTATTTCATGTTTCACATAAGAACCTCCTGTTAGTACTTTCCCTTTAGCTCATCCCCAGCAGCTGGTACTGCAGGTGTAGGAGGGAAATACCCTTATCCATCGCATGCAGCTGTAAGTACCTGTTGGTACATCCTGCTGTTCCATTCCAGCTGGATGGAGGTTTAAGTGCAGATTAGGGAGATGTGAAGGGCTTGTAAATGCAGCACTTGAAAACACTCAAACCTAATTTCCAACAACGTATCTTATTTTTGCAGCTGTTCGTAAAAAGCAACAGAGACTGTTACTATCACAGCTCTTTGTGATTACAGTCTCAGAGAGGTATTAATATCCCTGCTTTCTAAATGTTGCACATTTTGAGTCAGGTTGTGGCCTGCCCCTGCCCAGACATGCAATGGGAATGAAGATGTAATGAGCCTTCCTTTGTTCCTCTAGCAGTCTCGTATAAGAGCTGGCCATTTGGGACCATTTTGTGGCTGGCAGGACTCTATCACACTGTCAGGGACAGAGCAGGTCTCCTGATACACTCTGCTCTTTCATATGCACTGTGACTCCCCTTTCTTATGTTCTGTAACCACTCCAAGCATGGTGCTTCTCTCCATTGCCCTAGCCAGTTTAGCATTAAATTGCTCATTTTACTTAGCAAACTGACAGCCCTTGTATTCAGTACTTCCTTCATGCTTATTTCTGAAGCTCAGTGTGGTATGTAACCTCTAATGCATGGGTGTCAAAGATATGGCCCATGGCTCGTATCCAGCCCGCAGTGCCCTATCATTCAGCCTCCCAATGCTTTCTGTGGGTCTTGGAGTTGATTCATAGGTAGCATGTGGGGCATATCAGATGGCCCCACACGCTGCACATAGTGCCTACTTTGGGACCGCACCACACGCAGCACCCACTCCAGCATGTGTCAGCACCTTGCTGGATCCAGTGGTGGGTCCCAGAGTGGCTGCCCCATGCAGCGCAGCCCCAGAGCAGTGGAGTGGCCGCCATGTACAGTGCAGCCCCAGAGTGGTTGCCACATTTGGCACATGTGGCTCCAGAGAAGTTTTCACTGACGATTTGTCCAGTGGATCTCCCCAGTGTTATGTCAAGTGCTAGGGTTTCTGACATTGTCCAGGGGAGCAACCTCACAGCCTGTTAACTCACACAGTCAGGAAGTTTGTCCTGGGATAAGTCAGGATGTTTTGACAGACAGTCAAAAAGCCCAAAACTGAATCATTCAATCTTCACAGGTTAATTTAAGATGCGTAGATTGAACCAACAAGCAAGTGAACAGACATTCACTTTTGATTCAGGAATGCAGCCACATGCCTGCCATAGTTCATGCCAGAAGCTGGGGGTGCTAGAGCAAAGCACCCTGGGATGCCATGGGACTGTGAGTTAACTTGAATCTGGAGGGAATCTGGGACAGAAGTTCAATAAATCAATTTAACCTACATAAGTTAAGTTTTATATTATATCCATCCAGTTTATCTTAAACAAGTTTCAGTCATTTTGAAAGTGGTTTAAGTGCACTGAACTTCTGTTGTGTTACAGATTTGAACCAGTTTCTGATCACTTGTACTGGTTTATGTGTAATTTCTGTCCCTAGCCCTGGAGTCCAGCCTAAACCTTCCTTTTCTCAGTTTCATCCTATCGCCCAACCAGTGTCTGTTTCATCTATTTGGAGTATAAATGTTGGACTCTAGCTATATATCTGCACAATACCCAGCACAATGAGTACCTGATATTTTCCTGGGGCCCCCAGAGGACCCAACCAAAAAGTAGACACTTTTACTACCATTATTATAATTCCTAGCTATAATCCTCGTGTCTCTGTAATGAATTTTCATCCCTCCCTCATAGTCAAACCCCCTTGGCCAGTGGATTGCCATCAAGACTTCATACCTTGTCTCTCCAGTCCAGTTATCTCTTCACCAGACTCTAAGAGCTAAGTATTTCCCAAGAGTGTCCTGAACATAAGTGTATAGAGAACTCTGCCCTTGCATCTCTTTTGGGGCAGCAAGTTACACCAGCAGCCTGGAAAAGCCCCTCGCAGCCATGGCACAAAGACAAAAGCAGAACTGCTGGTCCTCTTTACTCTGATAGCCCTGCTTTATGCATCCACACTTTTGCAAGATACTAAACGGCTTCTCTCCACTTGTATAACAGTCAAGGGAGTCATTTTGTATTGAAGTTGAGGGGATCACAAAACAAGGCACGGAGCTGCTTTGCAGATATGGGCTGCTGCAGTCTCTCTTGGTTTTCTTACAAGAACCTCTTGTCCTCCCTCTGGCTTCTCTTTCCCCCTTCACACCTCCACTTCCCAGCTTCTTGTTTCTCTCTCAAGTTCCCCATGCCTCGGCTCCCCATTTGCTTCCCTTTTTTCCTTGTCACCGTCCCTCTGCCCTCTCCTTGGGACCCAGCGTTGACCTCACATTCCCCATGCCTCTTCTCCCTTTCTCCCAAATTCCTTTTATCTTTATCCAATTTCTCTGGTTTCCATGCTCTTCCACTTTCAGTTTCCTGCACCCTTAACTTCTCCCCTGAATTGAAATAAGGGCATACTGGGGTAGGGAAGCCACCTTGTCTCTGCTGCCAGCTGCCCACAGAGCCATTTCTGCCTACAGCTGAGCAGTTTTCCAGCTGGTGAGGGGCCCCGCAGAACAGTGATGGCGATAGATAAGAATAAAGGTAAGGCTGCATACTGCAGTCCTCCATTCTTCCAAAAGCCTTTTCTCCACTTGGGAAGTTAGGGGAAGGAGGCACAGTGCTTCCTTCTGTGAGAAAGTTGGGATACAAAACAATGCCCCTTCTCACTTTTTCTCAGGTCCATAGGAAAACAAAATCATCATGATGTGTGTCAGGATGACAGAGGAGATCTCTCCTGAAGGTATCTGCTTTCAGTAGTGTTGGTTAGAAAATATTTATTGTTATTGTTGTATTTTTTTGTTCTTTTCCAAAGAAGATATACATTTTCCACTGAAAAATCTCAAAAGAATGTTTTGGGGTTTTTTGTTTGTTTTGGTTTGGTTTGGAAAAGTTTTTGGTTTGATGCTTTTTTTTCCCCTCCCACTGGAAGCCTGATCCTGGACATCTTCAGAAAATGTTTCATAGTTTCATAGTTGTTAGGGGCAGGAAGGGACCTTACAGATCATCGGATCCAGGCCCCTACAAGAACTTTTCTTCTGGGCAGGCTTTTAGTAGGAGGAGCTAATTTGGGGGGCACTGTTGGGGGAATTTGTTGTTTATTACATATTATTTTATTTTAATATTGGGGTTTTTTTTATAATTTATCTTAGCTTTTATTATAAGCCTCCCTAAGCCTTTTCTGGGGAGGGCAGAAAATAAATCTAATACATAAATAAACAGAAAATGCCCCGTATTGCTGTCCCCAGTGTGGTTTGTTTTGGACATGAGCCTGTCCTGTATGCATAAGTGGAAACTGTCTAACCTGTGGAATGGTGCATTATGCATATAGCACTGTGTTCACAAGTCAGAGAGAGACAGCTTCAAACCCTCTCTAAATGAAGGTGGCCTAGAAACCAGGCCTTTGGCTTCATGAGCAAGTACCCTAACCCCTAGGATTTGGAGCTAAACCATGGAGGATCCTCTCCTCCTCCAGAGGCTAACACCTGCTAGCGATGGGTTTTTGGCTGGCTGTGTTTTGGGGACTGAGGTAGAGACATGCATCCAGAATGGGCGCATATATGCAGTTATGGACCTGCCTGGCCAGTGTATAGCTAAATGTGCATGCTCATTGTACATGTGCAAGCTTACCCATACCCAGTGTAGTGGAAATAGTGTAGTGGAAATAGCAAACTGTCTCTAAGTGGCAAGAATGTCTTGTACATGGCCACTTAGATACACAGGAAAAATAAAATTCTGCCCCATATAAATAAATGGGGCCACCCTTTCACACTACAATACCTTTGCACATCAAGCTCAAAATTGCCCTGGATAGTTTTTACAGACATATCAAGTATAATTTAACTTGTTGCTTGCTGTTATCTTTTCCTCCTGAGGCTCTCAGCATTGTTAGACATTATTATACTTTGCTCATGCAAATTTTATATATGAAAGGTCACTATCAATGGCTCCATTTAGTCTAACCCTTCCTTAAGGCAGAATCATCCCTGTCTCAACCATCTCACTTAACTGTCTTTCTAATCTGTTCTTAAACACTTTCAAAGATGGAGATTTCATAACCTCACTAAGTAACCTGGTCTAGTGCTAAGTCACTCTCATAGAAAGAAAATTCTTCCTGATTTCTAAACTAAATTT